AGGTTACAAAAATAAGAATTTATGAAGAATACAAAAAAAAAGTTATAATATATTACTATGATGTTTTGTAAATTTTCCTCTTTATATTAAGCTTGTCAATTTCCTTTTCAAATTAGTTAATATATTTTATTTAGATTTTTTAGAACAGTTGACATATCCATCATCTCGATCAATACTTGAAACATGTCACGATATGATGAGTTATAATTTTGCTTACGTGTCAACTTCTCATCGTGCGCATCCTCCTTTATATAATAAGATATAGAGCTGGATTATGAAACTTTACATTAATCGAATGTTTACTTTTGCTAATTGCTATCAATAGTTTTTGGGATGACAATTCAGTAATACTAATACCTCAATGATATTTAATAATTTTGTTAAAAAAATAAAGTAAACTAAAGAGAATAAAGGTTCATTTTGGTGTATAACCAAAAATAAAAAAAAATAAAAAGTAAGTAAAAGAGGGGTATGTGGCAAAATCATGATCATTGGATATAAGAATTTTGGTTAATTTTTAGTTTATAATTTTTTTTGTGTTATTTTTGCCAATTTCCGGAATATAAAAGTTTGATCCGAATTACACAGAATTACGATTCATCGTCCACAATTGAATCTCGATTTTTTTTTTGACTAAAAGGTAAATATCATTAGAAATGAAAAATAGATTTACAATGGTAAAATCTAAAATCTATACTACCCCGACAAAAAAAAAGAGTAGAAACAAGATAGTATAAGAATTGGTTTTGTAAACCACAGAGTTTGAATTGGGCATCTACAAAATTATCTGAGCCAAAGTTGAATTGAATTGAATCTCGATTTCAAAAGATTCCAAGTCTAGACAAACTTTGAAATTCTACAGAGACAACAAATGTATTTTGTGAATACAGATTATTGGCTTCGTTCAGCAGAATAATACATGTAGGGATGAACTTTTTCTTGACCTACTTTAAAATAAATTTACGTAGAATTCGAGTTAAGAACTAGTGGTAATATTTTTTTAGTCACATAGAAGATAGAACTAGTGGTAATAAT